TATGTCCAATGGAGTGTGATTGGTTTCCGAAGGACCCTTCGAAGCCACAGCAGCAACTGCCACTGGTTCGGATGTGGTTGATGCAGGACCAGACTCGTTTTGATCCGTATTCTGTGGCCATTCTTGAGTGATTTGCGCAACCCAGTCTGGACCATTCCACCGAGTATGTATATTTTTTATTTGAATTCGCAAGTACACACTGGACCATTCCACCATAGTGTACTAGTAGCCAACTCAGCTGTGGATACTCTACCAGACGGGAGATCAGCTGTATTTTCTGATGATGGTACGTAAACGAACAATATCTGGTGCTGTTGTCGGATCTTTCTGAGCCGATTCTCAACGAAGGTCGGGCGCGTCTGGTTGTGATTCTGAATCCAACCAAGGACACATTGTGAATCTGTCTGACTCAATCTGACCACAAGCGCGTTGCATCCAGCTCGGAAGGCAATTCTTTTGTCAGGAATTTCATGATGCGTGGACCGATGAGCATACCGGAGTTATGGACATTTATGTGTGTTGCGTTTTGGATCGTTGGATTTGTGGGATGCAGGCGGCCGTCATGAGTTCCCTCAATGACGACACATTGATTTACCCTGCCAGTCGTCAGGCGGTTACAAAAGGGTCTGAGGTAGCCTTGTGAGCTATAATATATGCTGTGTCAGTGTTAGTATTTATTACCACGTTATGGGTGCAAGGGTGGCATTATAATCATGAACCGGTGGCATCTGCTCTCAAATAGCGAGAGTTGGCTTAATTGTGCCCAGGGAGCTTCCCCCGACGCTCATCTGCTACAATCTTTGCTAAACCAATCAAAAATATCTTCCGATGCCTATCCCCACTTCCGAACTGCAAGTTCTGTCTCTTTTTGCTCTGTTTGGCTCAGATGTGAATGAGTGTTCCTTGACTCCGACCATCTGTGTAAGGGCAACATATTACCTGATTTGTCAAAACAGACACCGTAGCTATAGTTGCGAGTTGCCAACTGAGAAAGGTCGCTGTAAGTAACAGGGATTAAAAATAAGGATATCTTTTTTGTATATGCTCAATCTGTACACAAAGTGTCTGCGAAAATCGGAGTAACGAAGAAGGCTTTTTTCTGTATAATAATATGTACCCAGTCTGTATATGGGCCTCAACCAGCAGAAACAGCCCTTAGGGCCAACATGTTCAAAATCTCCTTTTGGTTAAAAATTTGGTGAAACACATCTCCTAAAGGACCTCAGCCGAGAAAAATTCCAATATTCCGATTCAAAACGTGTGTATACACCAATATACAAGATGTACTCCTAACTGGTGCTATTTATGTTTACGATGCAGGTGTACAATATTCAGCATTCTAAGGTGGGTGGGCTCTTGACTACCTTTGAAACAGTGCAGTAGGCAGCTAGAATGAATGACAAAGAATAGCTGAAGAGTGCGGAGACATGATCGACATATTCGCAGCTGCATCCTGCGTGGAATCGTTCCGCAATCTCGTCTTCCATTTCTTCCTCAGCAACTGAAGACATGGCGTCACTGCCGTCACTAGCCCCAGACTCAGTATTATTTATTTCAGGTGACGACTCTTCATCTTCCGACTCTGACGAGTCATCGGCCACCTTGAGCAGGACTAAAAGGCGCAACTAGCACATCACGGAGGAGAAGCAGCAGAAGGTAGCGCGCATTGTGCTCTGTGAATGGCGTTACGCAGAGTGTAGCGCCAAAAAATAAAATGATGCGAGTTATGTCACCTCTATACAGAGGGGGGGGGGGAGGGAGAGAGAAGGTGCAACTGTGCACATCACGGAGAAGAAGAGCGCTCCGTTGTACTCTAAGAAGTGAGGATACATGCCAAATAATTATGGTGTTAATTCTAGCACAGGAGGGGAGCACGGAGCCCCATGAGTCAATGCACTATGAGGTTAAACTTCCATGCCAAACTGTTACCACCAGGGACGCGACGAGGCATCAGAAACAGAATGTATTTGAGTGACCCGCCTCATATTATAATTATTCAGTGATATTGAAGTAGCAGCAGGGGAAGCTGAGAAAATTCACAACAAGTCCCATCCGGTGCTTATGTTCACATGGGGCTTGGCATCACGAATCTCAATCGCCTCGCGCAGTTTGCGACGGGCTCGATCAGGCTCTCTTCCTATTACTTCAACTGCAGAGAATGCACTGCAGGAAGCCTCAGCCCTTCTTCAATCTTATCTGGAGGTCTCGGAATGGGCACGCAAGTTCTTATCTGCAAGCCCTCCTAGTTCCTTCGTCAGCTGGCCCAACTAGGTTGCACTCCACCATGGGTCTGCGCCAACCGCCAGTTTGCACCAGGTTCGGCTAGGGTTGCCTCGCGTTCCAGGGCGCCCAGCTGTGGAATACCTTAACCCAGCGATAAACTTGCCATCTTCACGCTCCGGCAGTTTCGCGTCAGCATGATCCCGCACACCCCTAGTAACTAGAGTACCAAACGTCCTGTTTGATGATCAGCTGCCTTAGTTTCTCTCCACCTCTATCACTGTTACATCCATTCCCAATTTTCTACTGCTTTCTATTTTCATTCGCCACCTTTTCATTGGGCAAATCTGCCCGTTTGGATTGCGAAATAAAATATACACCAAAAAAATTATTTCAATTTTGAAGTATAATAATCTTTGCCAGTAGATTGCGCTCTTTTGAAGCTATTGATGGTGAGGGGGAGCAAGTGATAAACTTGTAAAATTGGTGGATCTAGTGCTAGGTCTAATAATCTGCACTAACGGACTGCGCTCTTTTGGAGCTACTGACGGTAAGGGTGGGGGGGGGGGCGGTGATAAGATTGTAAGATTGTGGAGGTGCTTTCAACGTGGGACTTAACTTAGAGTTTATGTAACGCCCGTACACTTTGCTAGCATGTACTTGCTGTTGTGCCTGCACTTCGAGACGAATTCGCGCCGCGAATTCAGCAGTATGCTTTTGTCCGCAGTGATAATGTCCAGCTTAATGATAAAATATGGTGGTAAACACACACCTGGCAATATGGCGGTAAACACGCGCTTGCCCACACACCCTTTCTGCGCTGCAAAGTTCTGGCACAGAGCTTTTTTTGCACCCCTGACGCCAGGCATGCGCTATCATCTCAGGCCTTTGTTCCGTGCTAGTGCACCCGGGATTTAGGCGCTCGAGTTACAATAATGAATATTTTTACACCACTTGCACACAGCACCCTCTCCCCTTCACTCTTTATTTATTTAGTTTTATGGTTTTACTAGAGCCACATAAACCCGTCATGTGTGAGCCATGAATATGGGGAGTGGTGACGTGTCATGGGACGCTCTACCGACCTTGGGTGTCGGCTTCATCACATCCAGGCGCGCCAATAGCAGAGAGAGAGAGAGATAGAGAGAGATGGACAGATAGAAATAGCGAGCTCTCTCTTTTTCCTCTTTCTCTCTTTCCCTTTCTCTCTCCCTCTCTTTCTCTTTCTCTCTTTCTCTCACGCTCTCTCTCTCTCTCTATATCTCTCTCTCTTCCTCTCTCTCTCTCTCTCTCTCACTCTCTCTCTCTCTCTCTCTCTCTCTCTCTCTCTCTCTCTCTCTCTCTCTCTTTCTCTCTCTCTCTCTCTCTCTCTCACACACACACTCTCTCTCTTTCTCTCTCTCTCTCTCTCTCTTTTCTCTTGATGACGCGTCGAGGGCCCTGGATTAGTTTAAAGCCCGCTGAATGTGCTCTTAACAGGTCCGCACAACTTCCAGTACGCATTATAGTACTGTTACGGTGCAGATAATGAACTCTGCATAAAATATACGGTATGCCTGTTGTGCTGTCGGCGAGTGGTGGCATGGGAAGAGCGGCGACATCACTCTATCGCCGAATCGCGTTATTGAGAGCGGACAGGAGGATGGAGCAGTACTCCCAAGTAATATTTTACATCAGGTGCCGTCTTTCATTTGCCCTGTTGTGATAATGCATCATGTGTTTGTGGGGTTCACGAGGTCTTTACCATGAGTGATCGGTTCGGCTTCCGAAGTCTGCTGAGCTGGTTGTCGCCGAGGCCCAGGCTGCTCGCATGTGAGAATCTATCAGGGTAGGTTCACATAAGCAAAACCGGCACCGCAAGACATCGGCGGTGAGCCAGCTCCCGATCCGTTGCGCATACGGTTCGAGCACCAAATCCACTACAAAGTAGTACAGAATGAGCCCAAATGATTCTTTGTTTCTTCAGTAGTTCAAGGTTTTTCGGTGATGGCCACTCGGTGCTACTTTTTACTGGAGATCTTCTTCTACACATTGTATTTGCAGTCTAGTAAGCGATTGAGTCGAAATTATGCTTGCAAACGTTGATGAAGTCACAAGAACTTGTCAATGTATCCATCATATTTTATATTTGTTTCAATTGTATTTGTCTCATAAGTTGCACAATGGTCAAGCAGATCATCCGAGAAGGACGGGCTGGTATGCTGACTTATTTGCCACCTTGAAGCGACTACAAAAATGGCGAACGGACCTCCTCTCTAGCTTCAATTTAGAAAAAATAAGTATTGGTTTGATATTTTGACAAAGTCTGGCAGCCGCAATTACCGGCGCGAACGGTTCACAAACCACTTTTGGTCAAAATTCTTCGGGATCGGCGCCGGGGCAGATCGCAAGAGTTCGGCACTGTCCAACTTTGTTACGATTGCACTGGTTCACATACTAGTAATTGCAATGCGCCGGGAGAGGTTGCAAGAGGCCCACTCCCGGTGACTCCCGGTGCGTACTGGCGATATGTGAACCTACCCTTAATATTATTATATTTATATTATAAACACTGGCCATGGATACTGGATATCTGTACTCAGTAAATCTTTACATTTTACAGGCTATGTTTTATTATTAGTACTATTATTGTAAAAAGCTTTCCTTTTGATCTTGCACAAGCATAATGCAAGGGAGATAATGCATGTAACCTCGTTCTAAAAATTGATAATGTCCTCCCTGCCATGCACTAATCTATAATAATTAAAAACTGTATACCTGTGTTGCTTGTATGATTTCAGTTTCAATTGTGGTACCCCCCAATGTGGATCTTATAAGACAATCTAATCAAGGAGTTTACAGATTCCAGTGCAAATCTGGATACTTTCCACACTGCAGAAGTACAAATTGCGATCCAACAAGAGGTGCAGTAGCCCCGTATAAATGGGACTCCACACTGGCAAAATTTGTATTTTACGACGTGCCAACTTGCGAGAATCTACGTAAGTTTCATAGTTTCATAGTTTGTTACTTGATGTGGATCCCTTGGGCATATTATCCTCACCTATGATATGATGGGCCTCATTTCCTCTGTGCTGCGCTGATGAGTCCACAAAGGACGAAATAGATCTGTCCGCTGATTGAGTATTTCGCTCCTGATCTTGTAGCAGTTGAGCACTCTGGTGTGGGGTAGTGCCTTTGCTGTTTGCGTCATACAGAGCTCACTGACAGGTCCGTTTGAGATAGGTTCGGGCTTCTTTTTAAATCTGGCTTTGGAAAATTAATTTTTCATTCCTATCAGGCTCGGCATCATTTCCTCTTTGCTGTACTGGGGAGTCCACAAAGGACGAATCAGTTCGGTCAGTTCTTTATTAGCCATAAATCCAAGGCCGAGACCATTCTTATTATTTAAATCATCTGATAAAGACCGACACACAAAAGCTGCCTGTGTGGTGTTGCTATGACTACCTTCCCAAACGAGCTAGGTGAGCCCATTAGTAGGCCGGGGCGGATAATGGTAGTTATTTTGCGGGATAATGCTAATGGCAATGATAGAAAAACTGTATCATCATGCTACTTATAATGCTGCTGTTCCTCTGTAATGCCAGCAATTCACCAGTCGTGCGTATGGAAAATGGCTTGGTTTAGGCTGTATTGTGCACGTTTCGTAGTTCTACGTAGACGCCATGGAAAATGCTAGAAAATCATGCTAATAATGCTAATCTTATGCTGCTATTGCTCCATAATGCCAGCAAATCCGCAATATTATGCATGGAAAATGGCTTAGTTTGGACAATCTTGAGCAGGTTGTGCAGTTCTTTGTACAAGGCATGTAACGGTACATTTTTTGTAGTGGCCAAAACTTCCATATTTGGGTATAATGCCACTTTTGTGGAAATGTAGTGTTATAATGCTAGCATAATGGTCGTTGCAAATCGCACACTATAATGCTACTTATAATGCTAGCATTATCCGCCCAAGCCTACCCATTCGGGACACGTACATCAATATACTACTCGCACCGAATGTAAAAACTCACGCAGCCCAAGCCTAGGAAACTGTGGGCAACCCTACATTGTTACCCTCTACCCCAGCCATGGGTCAATTTCGACCTTAAACAACATCTTCAACAGCGTAAGCACCTGCATAGAAGATCTCGTAAGCACCCTGACTACCAGGCATTAGTCAACCAGTACTGCGCTGTACGGCGCCAAAGCACACTGCTAAACCGTCGCCTCAAATCTGAATACTACGAGGTGATTTGTAATTTTTTAACATTGAGTCATTTCTTAACAAATCGGTAAAATATCTCATTGCCAGCGCCTGCAAAAAGTCATGTCAAATTTCTTTTTGCCATTGCCATTGCCAATGTTCTGTCAAGTTCGCCTCCAAAATTGAGACTGATATTCCTTCAGGAAGTGACATTGCAAGAGCTTTCAGTCTGCATGTGCGCGATGTTTACGGTAAAATAGAGTATAAGAGAGTCATAGCCGCTGACAACACATTTAGCTGAAGAGGAAACATATGATAGCTACACACTGGAAACGACGCCTGGGAAGGAGAAATGTCGGTGTGTTGGCCCTGGTATTGGCCAAACATTGGCAATTACTGAAATTACTCACAGAGGTTGATCACAATTGCATATGAAATCAGGGTGACACATCTATTGCTATGCAAGCTTGAATGGCTTGTATTTGGATGAACATATTCTTGATCCAGTCTTTCTGGACCATCCTGGATACGTAGGGTCTCTTTCTATTGAAAACTGACTTGAAATTGTGGTGCTAAGGCCTATTTTACCAGGATGTTAAGAAATGACCACAACAAATATTATGCAGAAAAATTGCCATTTTTCAACCGCCCCCTGCTTTCCAACACCAAGGAATATGTGAATGAACAACCCACCATCGCAATCTAAGGACTTCAGTATTACATTTATAGAGGAAGAAATGGAAAGATTCGCACCTCGAACCCTACGGAAGGCTTTTTTACTTTCGTGTTAAATAATGACGAATCACCTCGTATAAAGATCAGTTTCGACTTGCAACCGGAGTAACTAGGGACCTTTCGCACCACGCGTACGGATACGATACGAATTCTGATTCGTCACCTGGGTTCGAGGATTCGTCAGAGTCGCCGCGGAGAACTCTTTTTCACGAATGGCAGCCTCTTCATTCGTGGCACGCTCCGAATCCGTCAGGTACACATTTCTTTTGCAAGGTACACATGTTATGCCAGGTACACCTTTTTTCCCTTGATTCCATGGTCCATACACGTGTGCACGAACACACCCGTACGCCAAGCTACCGGCCGTATTCTTAATTGCCATGCACATTTGCATTACGACTAGCGAAATCTGAATCTGGTCTCAAGAAACGATTACGAGTCGAATAAAACTTTCGTTTCGCATTCGATTCGTAGCAAATGCGAAAGGTCCCTACTGAATGGCCTTAGTGGACAGAAGAAACTACACAATGCACCTAAGACCTCCATTGAAGAGCTGTCTACAACGTTCGCAGCTGTCGTTACTGACTCTGGACGTCCTGAAAAGCCGGAACTACCGAGTTCAGCTACGGACTGGACAGTTTCCAGCCAGTGTCCAAGCAAGCCGTCAGAAGCATGCTGTCAAAACTCAATGCTGCCAAGGCAAGCGGATCTGATGGTCGACCTCCTCTCTTCCTGCGCAACTGCGCAGACAGCAAAAGCGCTTCCCTGTCCAGGATCTTCAATGAGTCCTTACAGAAGCATAGAACCAGATGATTACAAGCTGGCGAGCATTTGTCTAATATACACATCTGGTAGTCAAACAGACCCCTCCAATTATAAACCCGTATCCCTCCTTCCGATCGTCAACAAACTGCTGGAGCAGATCGTCCACGCCCAGCTCATATTATTCCCGTAGCTATGCGGAAGACGTTACTTCAGTAACATCTGGCGCTAGCCAGGGTCCACACAGCTTCAATTCCCGTAGCTATGCGGAAGACGTTACTTCAGTAACATCCCGAGAAATCCCGCGAAATACCATTCACAGAAGAAGTCAGCGATGCGACAAAATCTTGCTAATTTGGGTACGTCACCATAACATTCGCGGTTTGGTACAACTAGTACAAATCGCTTGTCGCATCGCAAAAGTTGAGCCAAGCTCAACTTCCGCAATGGCCCGGATTTGGGTGGTTGCGTGGGGTCCGCGATGGGTGCGATTTGGGGGTTTCCCGGTTCCGCGGCTGTCGCATCGCGTGTCGCATCACAAAAAAAGCTTCTGTAAATCCCGCTTAAGATCTTGTTCCACACAGCTGCGGAGAGGGTGCTCAACGTCAAAAAGACAGAGCAATGACACACAAATCGTCAAGCGACGGATAGCCGAGAAGTTCGTTGTTACTCCGAGTTTCGTGCGAAACGACTCATCAGACAACTTCATAATGACACTTACAGTAGAAAACACCAAATAAATAGTCTACATTGGGTTGAAATATTGAGGCATTTCAGTGCTCGGTCTGATAAAAAATCTTGAAATAAATCTAAAATCTTATCTGGAGTGAAAATAATTCGGGTGGACACACCCATTCCCATAGCGCTGCACATCACATCCGAACCAGTTCCGTTATTTTAACAACGTTTCGGCACTTGGCCATCGTCAGGTAATAACAATTCATACCGTGGAAGCCACACAAGAGCAGTATATACCCAGAGTGTAGCGCCAAAAAAGATGCGAATTATGTCACCTAGTATGCAGAGGGGGGGGGGGCAGAGAGAGAGAGAAAAGGCGCAACTAGCACATCACGGAGGAGAAGCAGCAGAAGGTAGCGCGCATTGTGCTCTGTGAATGGCGTTACGCAGAGTGTAGCGCCAAAAAAAAATGATGCGAGTTATGTCACCTCTATACAGAGGGGGGGGGAGGGAGAGAGAAGGTGCAACTGTGCACATCACGGAGAAGAAGAGCGCTCCGTTGTACTCTACGAAGTGAGGATACATGCCAAATAATTATGGTGTTAATTCTAGCACAGGAGGGGAGCACGGAGCCCCATGAGTCAATGCACTATGAGGTTAAACTTCCATGCCAAACTGTTACCACCAGGGACGCGACGAGGCATCAGAAACAGAATGTATTTGAGTGACCCGCCTCATATTATAATTATTCAGTGATATTGAAGTAGCAGCAGGGGAAGCTGAGAAAATTCACAACAAGTCCCATCCGGTGCTTATGTTCACATGGGGCTTGGCATCACGAATCTCAATCGCCTCGCGCAGTTTGCGACGGGCTCGATCAGGCTCTCTTCCTATTACTTCAACTGCAGAGAATGCACTGCAGGAAGCCTCAGCCCTTCTTCAATCTTATCTGGAGGTCTCGGAATGGGCACGCAAGTTCTTATCTGCAAGCCCTCCTAGTTCCTTCGTCAGCTGGCCCAACTAGGTTGCACTCCACCATGGGTCTGCGCCAACCGCCAGTTTGCACCAGGTTCGGCTAGGGTTGCCTCGCGTTCCAGGGCGCCCAGCTGTGGAATACCTTAACCCAGCGATAAACTTGCCATCTTCACGCTCCGGCAGTTTCGCGTCAGCATGATCCCGCACACCCCTAGTAACTAGAGTACCAAACGTCCTGTTTGATGATCAGCTGCCTTAGTTTCTCTCCACCTCTATCACTGTTACATCCATTCCCAATTTTCTACTGCTTTCTATCTTCATTCGCCACCTTTTCATTGGGCAAATCTGCCCGTTTGGATTGCGAAATAAAATATACACAAAAAAAATTATTTCAATTTTGAAGTATAATAATCTTTGCCAGTAGATTGCGCTCTTTTGAAGCTATTGATGGTGAGGGGGAGCAAGTGATAAACTTGTAAAATTGGTGGATCTAGTGCTAGGTCTAATAATCTGCACTAACGGACTGCGCTCTTTTGGAGCTACTGACGGTAAGGGTGGGGGGGGGGGCGGTGATAAGATTGTAAGATTGTGGAGGTGCTTTCAACGTGGGACTTAACTTAGAGTTTATGTAACGCCCGTACACTTTGCTAGCATGTACTTGCTGTTGTGCCTGCACTTCGAGACGAATTCGCGCCGCGAATTCAGCAGTATGCTTTTGTCCGCAGTGATAATGTCCAGCTTAATGATAAAATATGGTGGTAAACACACACCTGGCAATATGGCGGTAAACACGCGCTTGCCCACACACCCTTTCTGCGCTGCAAAGTTCTGGCACAGAGCTTTTTTTGCACCCCTGACGCCAGGCATGCGCTATCATCTCAGGCCTTTGTTCCGTGCTAGTGCACCCGGGATTTAGGCGCTCGAGTTACAATAATGAATATTTTTACACCACTTGCACACAGCACCCTCTCCCCTTCACTCTTTATTTATTTAGTTTTATGGTTTTACTAGAGCTACGTAAACCCGTCATGTATGAGCCATGAGTATGGGGAGTGGTGACGTGTCATGGGATGCTCTGCCGACCTTGGGTGTCGGCTTCATCACATCCAGGCGCGCCAATAGCAGAGAGAGAGAGAGATAGAGAGAGATGGACAGATAGAAATAGCGAGCTCTCTCTCTTTTTCCTCTTTCTCTCTTTCCCTTTCTCTCTCCCTCTCTTTCTCTTTCTCTCTCTCTCACGCTCTCTCTCTCTCCATATCTCTCTCTCTCTTCCTCTCTCTCTCTCTCTCTCTCTCTCTCTCTCTCTCTCTCTCTCTCTCTCTCTCTCTCTCTCTCTCTCTCTCTCTCTCTCTCTCTCTCTCTCTCTCTCTCTCTCTCTCTCTCTCTCTCTCTCTCTCTCTCTCTCTCTCTCTCTCTCTCTCTCTTTCTCTCTCTCTCTCTCTCTCTCTCTCTCTCTCTCTCTCTCTCTCTCTCTCTCTTTTCTCTTGATGACGCGTCGAGGGCCCTGGATTAGTTTAAAGCCCGCTGAATGTGCTCTAAACAGGTCCGCACAACTTCCAGTACGCATTATAGTACTGTTACGGTGCAGATAATGAACTCTGCATAAAATATACGGTATGCCTGTTGTGCTGTCGGCGAGTGGTGGCATGGGAAGAGCGGCGACATCACTCTATCGCCGAATCGCGTTATTGAGAGCGGACAGGAGGATGGAGCAGTACTCCCAAGTAATATTTTACATCAGGTGCCGTCTTTCATTTGCCCTGTTGTGATAATGCATCATGTGTTTGTGGGGTTCACGAGGTCTTTACCATGAGTGATCGGTTCGGCTTCCGAAGTCTGCTGAGCTGGTTGTCGCCGAGGCCCAGGCTGCTCGCATGTGAGAATCTATCAGGGTAGGTTCACATAAGCAAAACCGGCACCGCAAGACATCGGCGGTGAGCCAGCTCCCGATCCGTTGCGCATACGGTTCGAGCACCAAATCCACTACAAAGTAGTACAGAATGAGCCCAAATGATTCTTTGTTTCTTCAGTAGTTCAAGGTTTTTCGGTGATGGCCACTCGGTGCTACTTTTTACTGGAGATCTTCTTCTACACATTGTATTTGCAGTCTAGTAAGCGATTGTGTCGAAATTATGCTTGCAAACGTTGATGAAGTCACAAGAACTTGTCAATGTATCCATCATATTTTATATTTGTTTCAATTGTATTTGTCTCATAAGTTGCACAATGGTCAAGCAGATCATCCGAGAAGGAAGGGCTGGTATGCTGACTTATTTGCCACCTTGAAGCGACTACAAAAATGGCGAACGGACCTCCTCTCTAGCTTCAATTTAGAAAAAATAAGTATTGGTTTGATATTTTGACAAAGTCTGGCAGCCGCAATTACCGGCGCGAACGGTTCACAAACCACTTTTGGTCAAAATTCTTCGGGATCGGCGCCGGGGCAGATCGCAAGAGTTCGGCACTGTCCAACTTTGTTACGATTGCACTGGTTCACATACTAGTAATTGCAATGCGCCGGGAGAGGTTGCAAGAGGCCCACTCCCGGTGACTCCCGGTGCGTACTGGCGATATGTGAACCTACCCTTAATATTATTATATTTATATTATAAACACTGGCCATGGATACTGGATATCTGTACTCAGTAAATCTTTACATTTTACAGGCTATGTTTTATTATTAGTACTATTATTGTAAAAAGCTTTCCTTTTGATCTTGCACAAGCATAATGCAAGGGAGATAATGCATGTAACCTCGTTCTAAAAATTGATAATGTCCTCCCTGCCATGCACTAATCTATAATAATTAAAAACTGTATACCTGTGTTGCTTGTATGATTTCAGTTTCAATTGTGGTACCCCCCAATGTGGATCTTATAAGACAATCTAATCTAAGAGGTTTCAGATTCCAGTGCGAATCTGGATACTTTCCACACTGCAGAAGTACAAATTGCGATCCAACAAGAGGTGCAGTAGCCCCGTATAAATGGGACTCCACACTGGCAAAATTTGTATTTTACGACGTGCCAATTTGCGAGAATCTACGTAAGTTTCATAGTTTCATAGTTTGTTACTTGATGTGGATCCCTTGGGCATATTATCCTCACCTATGATATGATGGGCCTCATTTCCTCTGTGCTGCGCTGATGAGTCCACAAAGGACGAAATAGATCTGTCCGCTGATTGAGTATTTCGCTCCTGATCTTGTAGCAGTTGAGCACTCTGGTGTGGGGTAGTGCCTTTGCTGTTTGCGTCATACAGAGCTCACTGACAGGTCCGTTTGAGATAGGTTCGGACTTCTTTTTAAATCTGGCTTTGGAAAATTTATTTTTCATTCCTATCAGGCTCGGCATCATTTCCTCTTTGCTGTACTGGGGAGTCCACAAAGGACGAATCAGTTCGGTCAGTTCTTTATTAGCCATAAATCCAAGGCCGAGACCATTCTTATTATTTAAATCATCTGATAAAGACCGACACACAAAAGCTGCCTGTGTGGTGTTGCTATGACTACCTTCCCAAACGAGCTAGGTGAGCCCATTAGTAGGCCGGGGCGGATAATGGTAGTTATTTTGCGGGATAATGCTAATGGCAATGATAGAAAAACTGTATCATCATGCTACTTATAATGCTGCTGTTCCTCTGTAATGCCAGCAATTCACCAGTCGTGCGTATGGAAAATGGCTTGGTTTAGGCTGTATTGTGCACGTTTCGTAGTTCTACGTAGACGCCATGGAAAATGCTAGAAAATCATGCTAATAATGCTAATCTTATGCTGCTATTGCTCCATAATGCCAGCAAATCCGCAATAGTATGCATGGAAAATGGCTTAGTTTGGACAATCTTGAGCAGGTTGTGCAGTTCTATGTACAAGGCATGTAACGGTACATTTTTTGTAGTGGCCAAAACTTCCATATTTGGGTATAATGCCACTTTTGTGGAAATGTAGTGTTATAATAGGGATGTCAGCGAACGCACTGCGCAGGCCTCTGCGCATGCATTGCGTCATCGATTTTTTGAACGTGATCGCGGCCGACAGAGAAAACATGGCCGCGGTCTGTTTGCACCGCTGGGAGTCGTAAAATTACTGTTCTTCTGTCCCCGCGACCATTCAAATCATACGCGATACAGGAGGACCCACGAGCTCACCACGTTCTCCCCGGTCGATTTCTCTGAAAGTTTGCACATCGTGAAACACCAGTATGAGAGGTGTTCAGGCCAATTTTCAAGGGATTACCCTGGTTGGATCGTTCCAAAATCGGACTTGCATTTCTCGCTCGCGGCCATTTCTTGCGCGATGGAAGCGCCCTGCCCTGGTGAGTAACCAGCGTCGCGCTTGGTAGAGAGTTGCTGCAATCAGCTCCCTGATGTCTTCGCTGCCATTGTCAGAAGCGATGGGCCCTGAATTTGTTTGAGAGTCTCTGGATGCTACTTTTCCTCAGCCTAGTTTTCAGCCATTCCGTGCATCTTCTTCGCACGATTTATTTTGCAAAAAAATGAAAGGGTTCATGAGTTTTTTTGTCGGCCACGCGTAGTTGGGCCAGGCTGACCTGCGCAGATGGGCTGCGCAGTGCGTTCGCTGATATCCCTAGTTATAATGCTAGCATAATGGTCGTTGCAAATCGCACACTATAATGCTACTTATAATGCTAGCATTATCCGCCCAAGCCTACCCACTAGGGACACGTACATCAATATACTACTCGCACCGAATGTAAAAACTCACGCAGCCCAAGCCTAGGAAACTGTGGGCAACCCTACATTGTTACCCTCTACCCCAGCCATGGGTCAATCTCGACCTTAAACAACATCTTCAACAGCGTAAGCACCTGCATAGAAGATCTCGTAAGCACCCTGACTACCAGGCATTAGTCAACCAGTACTGCGCTGTACGGCGCCAAAGCACACTGCTAAACCGTCGCCTCAAATCTGAATACTATAAAGATCAGTTTCGACTTGCAACCGGAGTTACTAGGGACCTTTCGCACCACGCGTACGGATACGATACGAATTCTGATTCGTCACCTGGGTTCGAGGATTCGTCAGAGTCGCCGCGGAGAACTCTTTTTCACGAATGGAAGCCTCTTCATTCGTGGCACGCTCCGAATCCGTCAGGTACACATTTCTTTTGCAAGGTACACATGTTATGCCAGGTACACATTTTTTTCCCTTGATTCCATGATCCATACACGTGTGCACGAACACACCCGTACGCCAAGCTACCGGCCGTATTCTTAATTGCCATGCACATTTGCATTACGACTTGCGAAATGTGAATCTGGTTTCAACGAAACGATTACGAGTCGAATAAAACTTTCGTTTTGCATTCGATTCGTAGCAAATGCGAAAGGTCCCTACTGAATGGCCTTAGTGGACAGAAGAAACTACACATTGCACCTAAGACCTCCATTGAAGAGCTGTCTACAACGTTCGCAGCTGTCGTTACTGACCCTGGACGTCCTGAAAAGCCAGAACTACCGTGTTCAGCTCCGGACTGGACAGTTTCCAGCCAGTGTCCAAGCAAGCCGTCAGAAGCATGCTGTCAAAACTCAATGCTGCCAAGGCAAGCGGATCTGATGGTCGACCTCCTCTCTTCCTGCGCAACTGCGCAGACAGCAAAAGCGCTTCCCTGTCCAGGATCTTCAATGAGTCCTTACAGTAGCATAGAACCAGATGTTTACAAGCTGGCGAGCATTTGTCTAATATACACATCTGGTAGTCAAACAGACCCCTCCAATTATAGACCCGTATCCCTCCTTCCGATCGTCAACAAACTGCTGGAGCAGATCGTCCACGCCCAGCTCATATTATTCCCGTAGCTATGCGGAAGACGTTACTTCAGTAACATCTGGCGCTAGCCAGGTGGCTTTAATTTGGTATTTGTTTGTGTGGTTGTGTCACGCCTGGCGCTAACCCGTATCCGTCCCGTACCGTACCGTACCATCAAACACAGTTGGCCACATACAGCTGGCCGCAATATTCAAATTGGGCTTTCAAACGCAAGATCATAACGTGAAGCAACTTGGAAGAATGAGTATGAAGTGTATGGGGGATTGCATGTAGGGCGATAATGTGGGTTCGAATCCCAGGTTATGCCTGAAAAAAATTATAACATCCAAAGGTGGCGGCCTTGACCCTTGTCAGCCTACTGCGTATCGACCTATTTCTCTACTACCAGTCGTTTCTCGCCTCCTCGAGAAGATCGTCAAAGCTCAGCTTACATCCTTTCTGACCGATCACAGTATTCTCCCTGACTCGCAGTTCGCGTACAGGAAGAACCACAGTACGGAGGACGCTCTTGTGCTAGCTGTCAATCGCTGGCTGAAAGCGAAGTATGAGCGCAAACTCACAGGTGTGATATTCGTGGATATGTCGAAGGCTTTCGACTGTGTCAAACACACCATCTTGGCACAGGAGCTATCCGACATTGGGGTCGGCGGTACTGTCCAGATATGGTTCACTAGTTACCTGAGTGAGCGGCTTCAACGCGTAGTCGTGGGCGGAAATTGCTCGGAATACGTCGCATGCAGTCGAGGGGTGCCGCAAGGATCCGTCCTCGGCCCCCTCCTGTTCACACTATACATCCGTAACCTTCGATGCTGCTTGCCCCAGCAGGTCACAAACCAGGAATTTGCAGACGACATTGCAATTGAAGCCTCGGGCAGTTGCGAACAAGTGTGCTCTTCTCTAAGCACAGCCATCACTGGCCTGTCGCAGTGGTTGGAGGACCGCGGGCTAATGCTGAACCAAAAGAAAACGCAAGCTCTGTTGATTACCCCAAGAGGCCCAGCCCCTGACACAGATAACATTCGAATTCGCTGTGGGAATGCAGCCCTTGCAGTTGTGGAACAAGCGCGGTACCTGGGCGTAATGGTAGATGGGCAGCTCTCCTGGGAGCCTCACGTCAATCACACAATCCAGCAGGTGCGGAAGTCAGTAGGTGCGCTGTGGCGGAGCCGCCGAAGCCTCACCCTGGCGTCAAAGATCCTGTTTTACAGGTCGATGATCCAGGGTAGGTTGTCGTACGCTTCCAACGCCTTTTATCCGTCACTTCAAATTGGCAACATGGAGCCCCTCACACGTCTAACGAAGTGCGCTATCCGCGGCTTCTTCGGTCTGCCACCGTGGTCGCGCACGAGCCCGATCTTTGAACAGCTCCGCCTCACCACCCTGGAGGACATGTTTAACATTAAGCTCCTCATCTTTGTCCGTCGTTGTCTGTTCTCCAGAGCTAGCTCCCTCTTCACCAGCTTCTTCGTGAGAGTTACTGGTGACCGCACTCGGGGAGCAGCACATCACCTCGTTCGAGTACCATTTTGGCCCGGTCCTGCGGGTCGAGCGACCATGCAGTTCATCGGCGCAGTCCTGTGGAACCAGCTCCCGCCTGATCTCCGTTCCGAGCCCAGCCACCTTCAGTTCTGTGCCCTGCTAAAAGCGCATCATGGCTCCGTTTAAATGCTTTTCGGCTAGTGTGTTTCTGTGGTATAGCGGACTGAAGAATAGTAAACGTGTTTTGCAATATATGTATGAAGCTATTTTGTATATAGTATGTTCCCATTCCGTTTTTGCTTTGGTGTAGCCCTAAGGTTGATTGCTTATTTATTTCTACCCTTCCTCTCTCCATACTTCTGCCCCCCCCCCCCTCTCTCTCATTCCTTCTGTCGTCCACATGTATCAAAGGAGGCGAAATCGCCTGTTTGTGGTGCGACGTTAAATAAACTTCTACAACAACAACAACAACAACATCCTTATCCTTTTTTTTGCCTAGGTCATCAAGGCGGTAGACGGTGTCGTATTACCCTCGACCGTACCTGTCCCGTACCGCACCATCAAAGACGGCTGGCCACAATGCATAATCAAATAGGGCTTTCAAATGCAAGATCATAACGTGAAGTTACTTGGAAGAATTAGTATGTCTGCAAATTGTATCGGGGGATGCATGCAGGGCGATAGTGCGGGTTCGAATCCCAGGTTATGTCTTAAAAAAAGGAGAAATTTATAAGAATTTATAACATCTCTATGCTTTTTTGTCTAGATCATCAAGGCAACAAAGCATAGCGCAGGGCCCTGAGCTTCCAAGCTCTCTGGTTCTGTAGCATTAAAATATGGCCTTTTAGGCCCAATATTCAAAAAAATCCAGAGGGACCCCCGGACCCCTCTCACAATTTCGCCGCATCAAAATTAAACTGCTTCCGACACCCCTGATTTAGGGTTGCTTCTGCTTCGCTTCGGACTACTGTTTGGTGTTGAGATGTCGTTTCAGCGCAGTCGTTGAGCAGCCTTTGTAAGAATAGACCGTTTTGCAACGATTGCAAGTATCCCTGTTCTTCGCTGCATCGCGGGAAAATTATCAAGTTCAGCACGACACAAAACTCGAAGGAAAATAATAATAGTGACAACAACAAAGTGAGCAAATTAAGTTACATTGTTCGAGTTTTGTGTCGTGCTGAACTTGATCATTTTCCAACTTGTCACGAGTGTTGTTATCTCATTATCTTTACGCTATAAAAGTTTCAGTCTTTCCAACTTGAGCCATTCCCTGTATAATCCTTGATGAGAAGGGACCGAAAACGTTCGGATACTTTGACAAGTGCCTTATTTTAGACTGGATGTGTGTTTGCGTGGATATTTACGACCCAAAATGTACCTTCGTTATTAAAGTATTATCCGCCTCCGACCTCTTGTAAAAATTATTATTACTTTCAAGTATTATTATTACAAACAAATCATTGTGTGCCTTTGTGTACAAACAATGATTGTATTGTTTAAGCATGCATCTACGCAAGAATCACCACCAGCCAATTAGGACATGTGTCAAAATAGTATTGAACGTTTTCGTTCCCTTCTTCTCAAAATACTACAGGGAATGATGGAAATAAGCTTAAAGATGGAAAGACTTAAACTATAAATAAAAGAAGTTCATGCCGGTAGATACATCACTCCAATATGTGTAGAAGTAACACGAAAAAATAGATGTGAAGAGTCAAGAAAACAGCATAGAAATCCAATAAGTGACAAAAACGTAATGACAAGAAAAAGAGAGAATATCAAGAGATCTTAGTATCTATTTCGCACCTTCAAGACGAACAGTCCCAAACAACTGCAAAGACAACACATTCTCCTTCTGAACACAAAGCTCAGTGTCTGCTATGGTATGGTATGGTATTTTTATTTTTATTCACCAATCGAACAGGCATATCTGCCTTCTTGCCGGGATGGCCAGAGCCAACCACGGCTCCTACTAATTGATGAATATGATAATGTGAAGCAAAAGAAAAGAAAAAAATTGGTACTTTGTCCGCTATATATTCCGTACTGAAAATATGGAGAGGGCAGTATGTGGATTCCATATTGAAGGGCTATGGATGGTGAACATGCTACTTGTGTTTTATGATAAAAGTATAGAGAGAGAGACAGAGACAGAGACAGAGAGACAGAGAGAGAGACAGAGAGAGAGACAGAGAGAGAGAGAGAGAGAGAGAGAGAGACAGAGAGAGAGAGAGAGAGAGAGTGAGAGAGAGAGAGAGAAATAATTAGTCCACACAGGATTACCGCCGAAGTCGCAACTTCTAAGCACACAAGATTAGTTTCAAATAGTCCCCATTCCATTGTTACGTAGATACACTGAGGAATGTAACAAGAAAACAGTTCTGAACAAATCCTCTCTTTCACTTTCGTCGTGTGCCTTGCGATAATCGAATAACATTTTACACATACATGTCGACATATAGGTAATGCCAAGAGTACATAACCAAGAGTGTGCAACTGCCTGCACAACCTCTATGCTGTGCTGCGACGGCAGAACTTCACATCACGTGACATGGTTCAAAAGGTGGCAAACAGTGCAAAGTGACCACAAGAGAGTTGTACCCAAAGCTGGGCTGCGTACAACCCAGTATCTATCATGCACTAGAGTGCACGGGTTCATCACGTGATGTGAAGTTCTGCCGTCGCAGACCCCATAGTTGGAGTTGCACACTCTTGGGTTATGTACTCTTGGTAATGCTGACAGTATAATTAGTCCTTTTGTAGGTATATTTTTAAAAACGTTTTAAAACTGCTGTCTCCAAAACGCTTGTTTACTTCCTTGGTACTTTCTCGGTTGTAAAAGTGGAACATACTTGTACACGCGGCTATGCTTGTTTCTGCGGTTGTGTTTCTTTGTGCATGTGTGTGTGTGTGTGTGTGTGTGTGTGTGTGTGTGTGTGTGTGTGTGTGTGTGTGTGTGTGTGTGTGTGTGTGTGCATGTGTGTGTGTGTGTGTCCCATATGGTGCAGTGGTATGTGCAGCGATTTCCAATCGATAGGTTGCGGGTTCGATTCCCGACGTTTATGGTCACACACGTCTTTCTTCTCTTTCTCAGACTCTTCCTGACTTTTCTTTCATTCTCCTGGGTGGTTACCAACAGCCAGTGTATGCCGGAGTATGTGGTGTGGTGTGTAGAAAAAGAAAAAAAGAAAAAAAAATGGAAAAATGAAAAATAGGGATTCACTGGCCAGAAAAAGTCACTTCAAACAGCTGTGTGGTGGATACCAGGCTAAAAATAGTGGCGGTCAATTCATCAGCCTTGCAAGCTGTTGAATGGTGTAATCCCAGCACAAGTTGCTATGTCTAAAAAAAAACATAGCTGTTTGCTATCATCGCTCCCGCGATGGGCATGTCTGAGGTCTGAGGTGTGTGTGTGCATGTATGTGTGTGAGTTTCTCTGTTTGTTGGACATGTCTTTTTCCCTCTGCAGGAGATCTTGAGCTTGTGAGTTCCTACTACTGTAAAGTAACCAACACAGTCCTCCGACGCACGCCTCTGTGGACGTACTTGAATTTTGCAGATGCTACGGCATTGTGCAGTATTAACCATGGACGCATTGTTACTTTTGCTGCTTACGAGGCTGGTTGCGTGTCCGCTGCGCTCGAAGAGAACATGATAGCCTGGTTGAACAAGGATGGTGACCCAGGAATGGCCTTAGTGGCTGATAATTCAAGGATAACTTCAACACGTTATAAGACAAAAGTACTTTATGCCATGTGTGAGACAGGTAAGCGTTTCTTACTGGTCGTATAACAGCAATGATGATTCAGCAAATGATAATGTGCATGCGAAATATGTATCTAATATTGACTGGGTACGAGGTCAATATAGGAAATAAAAGCCGAGTAAAAGACCGAGGCCGAGGGCTTTTACGAGGTTTTATTTCCTATACTGACCAAGTACGAAGTCAATATTAGATTTATCACGACAACAGTCGTGATATTCCAGAACGATGGCCTCATGAATCCCGGTTTTACACGAGAGAGTTTGGCAGCTTTATATCTCTGAGTTTCACGTATTACAGACAGACAGAGAGACAGACACCTTTTCATCTACAAAGTCTTGCAGTTTGTTGTTCGTTGTCTGTCCTCGTCAGCCAGCACATTGTTTCTGCCCTACTTCAAGTTGATCTCTGCCGATCTCTGCCGACCCCGTCGTGCATGGGGATCGTCCCTTCACAAGGGGTCAAGCCGCTCAGCTTCTCCGTATCCCTTTTCTCCCTGGACCATCTGGACGGCACACTATGCATTTCCTTGGTAGCTCCCTCTGGAATGCCCTATCTGACCATATCAGAATTCTCCCCAATCTTGCGTTGTTCAAATCCTCTATCGCTGATCTTGATCTGCCATCTCTTCATGCATGATTTACTCCATTCGGCAATGCAAGACTTGATCATTCGCAAATCTTCCTCTTCTTCCTTCTCTCGCTCTCTCTCGATCAGCTCTATTTCTCTCTCTCTCTACGTCTCTCTCTCTATCTATCTATCTATCTATCTACCTTTCTCTCACTCTCTCTCCCTTTCTCTTTCTCCCCTTCTTCTCTGTCTGTCTCTCTCTCTGTCTGTCTGTCTGTCTCTCTCTCTCTCTCTCTCTCTCTCTCTGTCTCTCTCTCTCTCTGTCTCTCTCTCTGTCTGTCTCTGTCTGTCTCTGTCTGTCTCTGTATGTCTCTGTCTGTCACACACTCTCTCTCTGTCTTGCTCCCCTCTTTCTCTCTCTCTCTCTCTCTCTCTGTCTCTCTCTCTCTCTCTCTCTTTCTCCCCTCTTTCTCTGTCTGTCTGTCTCTCTCTGCCTGTCTGTCTCTCTCTCTCTGTCTCTCACTCTCTCTCTCTCTTCCTCCCCTCTCTCTCTCTCTCTCTCTCTCTCTCCCCTCTCTCTCTCTCTCTCTCTCCCCTCTCCCATTCGTATCTCTCCCCTTATTCTCTGTCTGTCTCTCTGTCTCTCTCTCTGTGTCTGTCTCTCTCTCTCTCTCTCTCTCTCTCTCTCTCTCTCTCTCTCTCTCTCTCTCTCTCTCTCTCTCTCTCTCTCTCTCTCTCTCTCTCTCTCTCTCTCTCTCTCTGTCTCTGTCTCTGTCTCTCTCTCTGTCTCTCTCTCTCTCTCTGTCTCTCTCTCTCTCTGTCTCTCTCTCTCTCTCTCTCTCTCTGTCTCTCTCTGTCTGTCTCTGTCTGTCTCTGTCTGTCTCACTCTCTCTCTCTTTCTCCTCTCTTTCTCTGTCTGTCTCTCTCTTTCTCTGTCTGTCTCTCTCTTTCTCTGTCTGTCTCTCTCTTTCTCTGTCTGTCTGTCTGTCTCTGTCTGTCTCTCTCTCTCTCTGTCTGTCTCTCTCTCTCTCTGTCTGTCTCTCGCTCTCTCTGTCTGTGCTCAACAAAATAAAGTGAGAGGCGTGTGCGCTGTGGCCCAGTGGGCACGGCGTCATGCAATTGGAATATGGCGCGGACGCCAGACTTGCTGACTTTCAGCAGGCGGGTGACTAACTGCTTTGTGAGGCACGGAAAAAAGGAATTAGATGCATAAGTGATCCTAGACTGAATTATTGCTATGTACCACAGGCGGCGTGCAGTGATTGACGGTGCTCGTCCATGACGCCAGAGCTGTCCCACAGCAACAGACACTTTGCATACAACTTGTTCGACGTGCGGTTGCCAAGAGAGTTGGTCGTCCACAAGGACTCCAAGATACTTAGCTGTTGTGGTGACTGACAGACGAATATCGTTGCAATAAATACCAGGCATGGCACTGGGACGGCCACGGGGTTGGATGAACAACACTTGCGTTTGGCGGAGTTCAGAACAAGTCCAATACTGCACAGCCAATCAGCAAGTTTCGAGACAGCACTTGAGAGAACATTGCACACAAAATGTTTATCCGTCATCAGCAAACTCCTGGTGACTTGCTTGCATTGGCAGTATGGCAGACAGTATGGCTGACAGCTCACTTGTGTATAAGACAAATAGCAATGGCCCAAGTACACTACCTTGAGGAACACCTCTGGAGCAATCCACAGGTGCCGACAGAATATCAGCCACCTTTATTTGCTGCCTCCGATTACTGAGGTAACTCGTGAACCAGGACAGAACAGTGCCCCCAATGCCATGCTGATGAAGTACTGTGAGACGCTGATGAAGTACTGTGATGAGATGCTGATGTTGTACTCTGTCAAAGACTTTTGACATGTCGATCATAATCACACCACTATGCTGGCGCTGAGATCGTGCCAGGAGCCAGCGATTCACTGCAAGAACCAGAGCGTCTTTCGTTGAGTGGGACTTACGGTAGGCAAACTGGGACGCCGGTAGCAGGTGGTGGTCCTGGAGATGGGCCATGATCTGCTTCTTGACACAGTGCTCTAGAAGACGAGACACAATGGGCAGCAAAGAGACTGGCCAATAGTTTCCTGCGACTGCAGTGTCCGCGCTCTTGAACAAAGGGCTAACATTATGACAGTTTGAAGCATGCGGGTACAGTACCACTTGAGAGCGACATATTAATGATTCTAGCAAGATGAGGAGCAAGAACACTGGCACAGCACTGCAAAACAATACCAGAAATGCAGTCACTGCCACTAGCTCTGTGCGGGTTGACGCAGGCCAGACATTTCTCAACGTCTTGCACGCTGACAGGTTGAAAAGATGTCAAAGCTGATTGTTGTAAGGGGCCATGGGTCGCCTGAAGCGCAGCTGGTCGGGCTGGATCATGCACATTCCCGGACCAGTTGTACCAGCTCAGGCATGAGCCATGGGCATGGCCGCCCGCCAGAAACTCCTGCACTTCTCTGACCTTGCGCTGAATGCTACATTTAGAAAAGCGATCCTGTCAGCTTTTCTATTATTGTGTTCACATGGCAGAAAAAACGACACCGCTATGCTACGTAAGTTTCTACGTACGGTGCTCGGTACTTCACTTAGGCTACGTAAGTTTCTACGTTAGGTGCTTGGTACTAGATCTACCAACGCGTGGTAGCCACGTGCTGTGCACGTGCATGGCAGACATTGTGTTGCATGCAGTGCAGTCCGTTTTCGGATGTGCATGCGCGAGGAACTTACTTCTTTGGAACTGCTCCTTGCATGAGCTGTTTCGGATATTTCGTGTCCTGGCTTATTTCTTTTCGGCTCTGCTGAGACCTCTTTTCACGGAATATTACTCAATGACAGGTGAGTTGACCAGTTCCCTTTGATTCATTTGTTTGTGTTGACTCTTTCATTTACGAAAAGTGTGCTGATTTTAGGTGGAATACAATAAAGTAAGTACAAGTAATAATGGAAAAGCTGACCGGATCTCTTTTCTATATTGTTAACTTTTCTGCTGTCGAGGCCTCCTCTTACGGGATACTCAATGACAGGTGATTTCTGAATTGACCAGCTTCCTTCGATTCATTTGCTTATGCTCACCCTTTCATTTACGGAAACGTGTGCTGATGATTTAGATCCATTTGTATCTCTTTGCCCTTGCCAACAGTGTGCGAAGAACGCCAGTTCACCTTCTTGACGGTAAGGCTTATGTTGCTGCTGAGGCTTAGATGTGTTGTCGAAATACTCATATTCATTGTACATTGGTACGTTACAAGTAAGGCACTGGTCATGATTACCTCCGGCATTCCGTGCTCCGATCATAGGGTAGAATATGAATCAGTGGCATAGCATCGTTGGCAGTTCCCAATCTGGAGGGAAAGGTTCAAGGACGCATTGGCCGAGTACTAGTATGCAAATTAAGTTTGCATATCAGGGAAAATCTCCATTATGGAGAGGTTCATGCATTCAGTGACTTGTTTGCCTCATACGAAACAAGCCAATGGGTGCAGTCTCCTCTCGTGAAAATCTCGTACGATCGGATTTGTTTACTCGAGTCTGGGCTGTTTGATTTGTGAGTAGCGCCGAGATTTCACTGCCCCAAATAAAGTTGCGAGCCGGTAGAGCAAGAATTACGATCTGCAATCTGTTTGTAGTACCTGCAAGAATGTGCTGTACATGTATCGTATATTCTCTGTTGTTGTTTCAGTTGCCGTCATGTTGCTGAAGAAAGGTTCAGTGACTCATTTCTTTCATAAAAGACGAGTCAATGGTTTGGTCTGGCTTCGAATCTTTCGCTGCAGAAGAAATCTATTCGTGTCTCTATTGGAGAAATAATTGTATTCACTCGTTATAAAATAGGGTTAAGACAAACTCACAGAGCAAATGGCATCGGTCCCTTGATGTTCGTCCTAAAGAGGTTTGACTGGATATCATTCATACTCCCCCGAAGTCGTGTAACATGTTATTATTATGGTGTGCCTTGTTTATCTCTCAGTACCTCCAACCATATATCCTTGCCCCTTATATCCTATATATATATATACTGCAATGTATTTGTTTACATTTTAATACATGTTTATTGTTTCTACTTTGCTGTGTTGTTTTAGACAATCGTGGACTTGTAACACTTTGAAGTAATTGAACTGCTTCCAAAAATTTTATCGACATCAACAGGATTACGATTTCACCACAATATAATGCCGGATGACCTGATCACGACAACCCATGACTATAATTATAAACACAGAATCAACAAAAACATCTGCGGCACGCACCTTGTTACAATTCTCAAGTAAATGTGATTTAGGGTGTGGACACCTGAATTTTCTGAAAGACAAGACAATTTTATGACAGCGTCATGAAATTCTGCAACATCCACAGAATGACCTGCGTATAAAAAAAGTATCATCGCCACTACCCATATGATTCCCCTGCAGAAGAACATGAATACATGTATGCAAGACTAGTTCCATTTTCTGCAAGAAAGGGCTTGCACATCAATGCGTAAATATACTACCAAGAGTACATAAACCAGAGTGTGCAACTCGGGATGGTTCCTGTGGGAGCGTAATTCGTGCACTACGTCATTTCTGACGGCATGGTAAGCCACAGGTACGGTGAAAAGTTGCGTAACCAGTCGCGGTGGTGCAGTTCACTGAGTTTGTCCTGATTTCGGTTTTTTGAGACGGATAGCCTGGTGACTTTACTTGTCGGTGGATGTACACAGTCACACAAAACACCGAAATCTTGAAACAGGACGTCTAAAATCAAGCAAACTTGGCTGATTTCCGGGCTATGAAACATGAAAATTTGAGCTCTACGCAAGTCGCGGCTTGGCTGATCTCATCAGGGTGACGTAGTGCACGAACTGCGCTGTTTCAGATCTGATATGCACAGTTGCACACTCTGGTTTATGCACTCTTGATACTACGGTATTGAATTTGATATGATACACGTACAAAGGGGCTCCCGTAAGAAGACCATAGGTCTGTGGGAAACACCCTAGTAAAATAAAATAATAATAATAGCATGTAGAGGCGCTACATGTAGGCCATCATTTATTTGGGCATTCCATTGGTGACACAAATATATCCTTTAGCCAAAAAACAAAAGAAATTATAGCAATAAAAACTGCTTTAAGGCAGTTTTCTAAAAAAAGTTATTGTGTTCTAGTCCATGGACCCCGTCTAAAAAGTAAGAAATTAACGAAATGTGATAGCCGAAAATTAAAATTTCACACAAAACCTCACAATAATCACACACAGAATGCGAGACGACCTTTTCCCCTCGTGGTCCTCTTTCATATGCATGTACTTGTACAAGTACAAGTGTCGGAATAAACATTTTGTTGAAAGTGTCGTGATTATTGTGAGGTTTTGTGTGAAATTTTAATTTTGACACTTCAAAGTTTTATTTCAAGAGTTACCTTCGGTAGAACCTGCTCAAACTTGCTACACAGTACCATTATTAGGTTATGATAGCATAACCATCGAATACAGGGCAAGTCCGATGTCAAATACTTGTGGGCGGGGCTAATATGTGTTGAAAGTGTTGTGATTATTGTGAGGTTTTGTGTGAAAATTTAATTTTCGGTTATCACATTTCGTTAATTTCTTACTTTTTAGACGGGGTTCATGGACTAGAACACAATAACTCTTTTTAGAAAACTGCCATAAAGCAGTTTTTATTGCTATAACACATTCAGGAATGACACGGTTAGCTCATCATCACAAGTGGTGGCTGATTTCTTTGATTGGAATTCACGGCTTCACTGCTGCCTGGCTGTGTATCAGCTCCACCATTGTCATGACGAGGCGGATATTTCTCCAAATCCCAGTTCCTACTGTAAACTGCTCTAGGCCAGAAGCGATGACTGTTTATCAGAGGGTGATGACTGTTTATCAGAGGGTGATGACTGTTTATCAGAGGGTGATGACTGTTTATCAGAGGGTGATGACTGTTTATCAGAGGGTGCTGACTGTTTATCAGAGGGTGATGACTGTTTATCAGAGGGTGATGACTGTTTATCAGAGGGTGCTGACTGTGATGACTGTTTATCAGAGGGTGATGACTGTTTATCTGAGGGTGCTGACTGTTTATCAGAGGGTGCTGACTGTTTGTCACGACAATCCTTACACAGCAGGTCGTGGCATCATCGTCGTCATCATCATCGCCGGCAACGTTGTCCCTTGGGAAGATTTTGCAGTTCTTTACATTGGCAGTTCGCCCAGCAGCTTTGCATCGCTGCTCCACGAATGTCGTCAATCCTTGCTCCGTCGTCTTGTGCCTCAGCTGCCCCATGTACACTACACCGTTCTTTTCTGTAAGCTTCTTTGGAGTGACAAGCTGCCACGATCCATCATCTGAATCTGACATGTCTTCAAATTTGGTCAGGGATTGAGGCACTCGTCTGTTGCTGTCAGCACGACTTGACTGCATTTGAATTTTCGTTTTGGCTGGGACCGGGGCACGCGCACGCTGACTCTGGTCAGTACGTCGATCCACGACCCGTAGGCCGTCGACCTCTACGTCGGTGTCAGAGTTTGAACTTGATCATAGGAGGTCGTACGGTCTTTGCTGTTGTTGTTGCCTCCACTCTTGTGCTTACGTTTCTGCTTCGCGCCTGCACTGGCAATGGCGGCCGAGCTGGTTGATGTTGACTCAACGGAAAGCTAAGTAGCATTTGTGATCATTAGCATCAGAGATTGTACTTGTTGAGTCAACAGGTCTATGCGAACCTTAAGCCTCTTCTCCCTGTCTTCCGCAACAATTCTACGAGCTGGGCAATGGAAGTTTGAGAGCATGACTCCGGCATTGAACCAACAGTTGGATCAGGATCGCCAAATTGTTCTTGGACACTTACACTGATCACTCCTGAGCTCATTATTGCTAAGTCTAGCCACAATGGGCTCACGTTACCAAATATTCACCACTGAAAACCAGAGCTGAAAAACCCTGTACTGCACTCCAGGTGTATTTACGGATGTGCTCCGGCATTGAACAAACAGTTGGATCAGGATCGCCAAATTGTTCTTGGACACTTACACTGATCACTCCTGAGCTCATTATTGCTAAGTCTAGCCACAATGGGCTCACGTTACCAAAAATTCACCACTGAAAACCAGAGCTGAAAAACCCTGTACTGCACTCCAGGTGTATTTACGGATGTGGTGTGTGTGTGTGTGTGTGTGTGTAAAAAATGAAAAAGACCAAAAAGAAGGGATTCACTGGCCAGAAAAAGTCACTTCATAGCTGTGTGGTGTAGACCAGGCTGAATAGTGGCGGTCAATATAGTGAATAGTGGCGGTCAATTCTTCAGCCTTGTTGAATGGTGAAATCCCAGCACAAGGTGGTATGGCTTCTACTGTAGCATCGCTATCATCGCCTTCGGCGATGGGCGTCCAATGGTCCAATGGTGTGTGTGTGTGTGCGTGTGTGTGCGTGTGTGTGTGTGTGTGTGTGTGTGTGTGTATGTGGGTATGTTTGTGTGTGTGTGTGTATGTGTTTGTGTGTGTGTGTGTGTGTGTGTATGTGTGTTTGTGTGTGTGTGTTTGTGTGTTTGTGTGTGTGTGTGTGTGTGTGTGTGTGTGTGTGTGTGTGTGTGTGTGTGTGTGTGTGTGTGTGTGTGTGTGTGTATACTACTTGTGCATATTTCAACTCGGATGATGAGCCAATTATGGTGATCCAGTTTTGTGCCATTTTGTCGCACTCGCTGACTGTATAAGATCTGGTTACGTTGGTGGACAGTTCGTCATAACTCGTAACATTTTGTCCTTCTCCTATTTTACTTGTGCATATGTTACAAATCTAAGCGTATATACACGTCGCACACAGGCACGCATAATAATTATTCCCGTAGCCATGCAGAAGACGTTACTTCAGTAACGTCTGGCGCTAGCCAGGGTCCACACAGCTTTAATTTGGTATTTGTTTGTTTGTGTCACGCCTGGCGCTATCCGTATCTGACGGCAAAAAAGCATAGGATGTTATAAATTTTTCAATTCTCCAATTTTTTTTCAGGCATATCCTGGGATTCGAACCCGCACTATCGCCCTACATGCATTCCCCCATACACTTCGCATTCATACCCATTCTTCAAAGTTGCTTTACGTTATTATCTTGCGTTTGAAAGCCCTATTTGAATATTGCGGGCAGCTGTATGTGGCCAGCTGTGTTTGATGGTACGGTACGGTACGGGAGACGGTGTCGTATTACCCTCGATCGTACCTGTCCCGTACCTATCCCCTACCGTACCGTGCCATCAAAGACGGCTGGCCATAATGCATATTCAAATAGGGCTTTCAAATGCAAGATCACAATGTGAAACAACTTGGAAGAATTAGTATGTATGCGAAGTGTATCGGGGGATGCATGCAGGGCGCGCGGTAGTGCGGGTTCGAATCCCAGGTTATGTCTTAAAAAAAGGATTTTTTTAAAGAATTTTTAACATCCCTATGCTTTTGTTTGTCTAGGTCATCAAGGCAAAAAAGCATAGCGTAGGGCCCTGAGCTTCCAAGCTCTCTCGTTATGTTTGACTCAGTAGGCAGTCGGGTCACTATCTCTTAATTTGCTGTCCAAAAATCCTATATATAGGATTTGAAAATGTGTGCCTTTTATGCTGTTGTTATTGGTCATCATGACCAATAATAACGGCATAATGGTTTTCATGGAAGTTGTAAATATGTTTGAGGCATGAATGTTTACATTTTAGATTCATAGGGCGATAATATTTCTGATGAATACCCATTTTCAGCAATATTTGGAAATTTGAGCATAATTGTTCAGCTGCTGTCATGGAAAGGATTGAAGCAGTGAATGTGCAGAAGAACATTGCAGGTGTGGCACGGGGTGGTTTCATGATGACATATCACACACGCCGTCATGAAACTACCAGTTTTAAGGATACAACAAGGTCCAATAAAATCTCAAATCCTATATATAGGAATCGAGAAATAGGGCACAGGCATTAGTAATATTGAGCAAGGAGATGAGCCTGAGATGTTAGTGTTTGAAAAAAATATCTTATTTAACTCTCGATATCTACTAAGACCTAGCAAGGAAGAATTGGTCACATACTTTTTGCTATTGAAGCTATTCTCATGCCACACCCATTTTGAGTTGAAAAACATGACCAAAATCCTATAAAGGATTTAGGAAATTAAGAGATAGGCAGTCGGGTCACTGTAGGCAGTCGGGTCCCTGTAGGCCGTCGTGAGTATGCAGCTTTATCCATCACAAGCACTGCTGCATACATTATTCGTTCCGTCATTCCCGTTCTCTGTGTGCTCACGCCCTGTTTGATTGTTCTCCCTGTACAGATAGGTTCTGGTGTGCACAAACCAACTCGGATCTGTACATTCGAGAAAGTGTTGGGCCCAAAACGCTGTCCGAAGCGACGAAAAGTTGCAAAAATGGGTTTTCTACGGACGCTCATGGAAAGCCGTATGCCGCAGATGGCCGCATTGTTAGCCAATTGCCCGTCGAAATGCAATGCCTTACCAACTACCTCAAGCTAATACGGAAAGAATCCATTGAAGGATATGTTTGGATTAATGGCGTTGAGGCTAGTGATCAAACGCAGATAAAATACGTCGTTTGTGAACAAAGAAAAATGTTCAGTAAGTGTCCCACAGAATGAAACCACAGCCAATGTTTGTGATCGGTGTTCAAACTTCTGTCCGTTTAGTATAATATTATTCAAGGGATGACCCAGAGGCGAGTGGGCATTATCTATTTATAAAGTGGGTCCTTGATAATAGAGAGGTGCATGGTTTTCCGAAAATGGATTTTCGGCTCTTTCATGTTTGGGAGTGCATATTTGAATACAAAAAAGTGTATTTTTCATGTTTGTATTTTTGCTTTCTGCAGCTCTCGATTATTTGAAAGATTTTCCACGTACGTATGTAGTTTTGATTTTTGCTGGTTTTTGCTGCTCTCGCTGATCTCGCCATGTGGACTAATCTTCTCACACTCCATCACACTCTATCTTCCTTTGCCATGGAGCCTACTGAGTACTGACAGTACAAGACAGTAGTTCGCCAACCTCGTCTTCAGCTGTTGGATCACTTGGTCCACCATCAGTCCGTCCTCGTCTTCGAACCGCACCCAAATTCAGTTTGACCTGCGCACATGGATTGGATCCTGCTCAGCCCCTTCGACGCTCTCCATTTTGTTTTGCATGGCAACCCTTGGAAACGAAGTCGAATCAGATTTTCGGAATGCAAAACACTGAAAATACCGTTTTTCGGAACGCGCTTTTTTCGGAAAAGCACAGTCGAAAATCATTCCGAAATTCGGAATGCAAAACCTCTCTAATATGGGATTGTTTGTGCTACGGAAGTTCAGCTGGTTTAAGGACGGTGCAGGATGAACGAGTCTGCGTGTATGTGTGTGCAGTCGTTTCATCGAGATCGGACCTACCGGGATTTGCTGGCGGAGATAGAACTGCAACATTCCGAGCTGCTGCTCCTGCCGAATACGACATACATCGTATAAGGCAGACCGGCATGCATGGAACGTGGCTCAGGGTTGTCGCCAAAGCGATATAGCGGCGCGCTTCTTCTTTTCTTTTTGACCATCCCCTTTCAAAAGGAATGTGCCACAGGCAGAGTGCGAGCGCCACCTTAGTAAAAAAAAAACTTTTTTTTTGCTTGATAAGTAGACATGTAGTATGTAGCACACTTTAAAATGGCTGCACAAATAATTGGCAGTGAAAATCACAAAATGTTGGTTCAGATGACCCCCGTCCCCTTCACATTTTGTTCCGGCCATGACCCTGAAGGCTATGTCTCGTGCGAGGACCTACCATCTGTACACTGCATACTGATGAACAGAAGTATGATGTAGATGCCGCAGTGCAGCGGTGTAGTTGCCATGCATGACGTTTGGCTTGAACTGAATGTATGCATGCATGGGCCATACGTTTATATGTGCATGCACAACTGCAATCCATACGCATAATATTATGCACGTGCAAACCCGCGTGCAAATCTGCACTCAATTTCTGGCTTTTTGATATACTTCAGTAATTATTATGACAAATCAAGTTTGACGATCGAAAATTGTGACATTTCGATTTTACCCAAAGCAGTGTCGCAGTTGTATCCAATCTTCACTGTGTCCAGACTGCTAATAAATTGTTATCGTTCTAAAGCTACAACTCCTCATTGCCACTGCAAACTCGCCTAAAATGATCGAAGGACAACATCCTTGGGCAGTGTGCCTTTCATTGCTATCTTTTTCAATGCCACACTGTATGTCATTGCTACTCTGTCCAATGTCCCACTGTACATCATTGCTACTCTGTCCAATGCCACACTGTACATCATTGCTACCCTGTCCAATGTCCCACTGTATATCATTGCTACCCTGTCCAATGCCACACTGTACATCATTGCTACCCTGTCCAATGCCACACTGTACATCATTGCTACCCTGTCCAATGTCCCACTGTACATCATTGCTACTCTGTCCAATGCCGCACTGTACATCATTGCTACCCTGTCCAATGCCACACTGTACACCATTGCTACTCTGTCCAAAGCCACACTGTACATCATTGCTACTCTGTCCAAAGCCACACTGTACATCATTGCTACTCTGTCCAAAGCCACACTGTACATCATTGCTACTCTGTCCAAAGCCACACTGTACATCATTGCTACTCTGTCCAATGCCACACTGTGCATCATTGCTACTCTGTCCAAAGCCACACTGTAAATCATTGCTACCCTGTCCAATGCCCCACTGTACATCATTGCTACCCTGTCCAATGCCACACTGTACATCATTGCTACCCTGTTCAATGCCACACTGTACATCATTGCTACTCTGTCCAATGCCACACTGTGCATCATTGCTACCCTGTCCAATGTCCCACTGTACATCATTGCTACCCTGTCCAATGTCCCACTGTACATCATTGCTACCCTGTCCAATGCCACACTGTACATCATTGCTACTCTGTCCAATGCCACACTGTACATCATTGCTACTCTGTCCAATGTCCCACTGTACATCATTGCTACCCTGTCCAATGCCCCACTGTACATCATTGCTACTCTGTCCAATGTCCCACTGTAGATCATTGCTACCCTGTCCAAAGCCACACTGTAAATCATTGCTACCCTGTCCAATGTCCCACTGTACATCATTGCTACCCTGTCCAATGCCACACTGTACATCATTGCTACTCTGTCCAATGTCCCACTGTACATCATTGCTACCCTGTCCAATGCCACACTGTACATCATTGCTACTCTGTCCAATGTCCCACTGTACATCATTGCTACCCTGTCCAATGCCACACTGTACATCATTGCTACCCTGTCCAATGCCACACTGTACATCATTGCTACCCTGTCCAATGTCCCACTGTACATCAGCAACACTAGGCCAGACACTAACTAACAAGCCTAAGTGCAGTATATTGAACCCGGACTCGTTTGCCCCCATTTATTTTTTAGTTTCGCGAATTGCAAAAGACAGACCACCTAGCGCCTGCAAACACTTGCGATTGGAGCTAATTTGATGATTGAATCGAGTCTACAGTCTCGAGTTTCACGCCCACTTGCCCCCGTGATTTCACACCCATTGCAAAGATCGGGAAACTGTTCAAGATCGCAAAGGTTTCTGGATTAACAGAATTCAGGCAGCTGCGCGAATGTTTAAGACTGTTTTTCTGTACATTGCTCTGCACGCTGTTACCATGGTTTCTTATGTACATCATTACAGCCGAGGTACTGTAAAACGGATAACGTTTACGGCAATAAATGTTTGCGCTTTACAAAGTGAGACTAGTTTGCGCTGTTTAATGTTTGCGCAGGAGTCGTTCTACACAGTCGAGTCAGTCCTTGCAATGAACTTTACATGGTGCGAGTTTGCTTTGTTCAAAGTTTGCGATTCGGGGCCTCTCGCGAAATTCACAAACAGTTCTACGTCGCCATCATGAGTGACCCGGTTTACCGTATCTGTCTTTTCCTGTGTTTGCAGCGGACATGTATTGCAAGAAGACAAGAGTTTTTTACAGCCCGTTCCCCTTGGTCAGGATGGGCTACGATGATGCCGTAAAAGAATGTAAACGTCGAAAGTACTTTGGACTTATGGATAGGATTGATGTCTGTGGGATTCCTGTTCAGTATAAGCTAAACTTAGATGACTTTTGGTGGAAACACTCCGTGCCTCGCGGAATAGAACGATTTGTCATCTGTGAACGGGGTAAGCTGCAAAACTGCTCGCGACTTCCGCCTTGAGCTGCTGCTGTTGCTGCTGCTGCTGCTGCTGCCACTGTTGGTGCTGAACCTGCTGCCCATGTCTCTTTTGGAAGTGGAGCAACTATTTACTTGCCTCAGACAGCAGGCATTGGCTGGACGTTGTCCACAGATGCGTGACCCTCATTTGATTTTGTCATATGAGCTATATGTGTGCTGGAGTAGTATTATTATAATACTAGTGTCACGGCTGACTGTAGGTGCTCTTCCGCGGCTAGAAACTACTCATGAGCGGAAATAATGGCAGTGTCATCTGCAAACTGGCTGCTCTCTGTGTAGGCATTTGTGCATGCAGTTGGCAGATCACTTGTGAAGGCCATGAAGAAAACCGTTCCCGAAGACCGAACCAAGTGGGGGACACTCGCTAGAATGTTCATCCAGGTCTACTTGCTGCTCTCCACTTGCCCATTTCAGGCTTTGCCTACTATGCCTAGACCCCAACAATGGGTGATCATGTGACCCCAACAATGGGTGTTCATTTAACCCCAAATGTGTGTGATCATGCGACCCCAACTGTGTGATCATAGGACCCCAACTGCGTGTGACTTAAGCAAAGCCTGATTTTACCTGGGAAGCTCCAATATCTTTCGGCCTTCGATATTTTACTAGCATAATTGCTAGCACAATCGAATTATGTCTAATAGATGCCCTCTGGACGTCATAATTTCATTAGAAGCATCACAGGGGTAAAGTGCTTTATGCGTCTTGGTGGGTATTTTTGCACGTGCACTTTCACGAACCTTGTGTATGGTTCTGCTGTGAACAGGGGTGACAATATGTCAACAAACCTGCTCCGACATCAGCGTGTTTCCTCTCCAGAAGGTGCTTCCCTCAGGAGCAGACCAAATGTGCAGACAACGAATCAACTCGTTTGGCGGTGGGTACACATTTGCTCACATCGCAAGTAAGGAGAGCGAGATCTTTGAATGCGTCACTGCCCATCTGAAATTGGCCAGTATGCTTAATGAAGAAGTTATCGGTGGAGGCATGCTTTTTGGCGGTGCGCAGCAAGGGTCAAAAGCATTCGTTGTGTGCGAGTATCGAAGACAATGCAGTAAGTAGAAATAGTATTAGTTGTTTTTCAATTTGCAATTTCAAGTACAAGGCAGATTGCCTGCTTTTTCCTAACGCTTTTAAAATTACGAAATAATCTGTCGTGTGTCAAGTCAAGTCGGCGGAATAGTGCCAGCTCCGGTGTGGGGAGCGAAGCCTTGCTTTTAAAATTCTTTTATAAATCTTGAACGGAAAACTGGACATTTGACCCGCAGGAAGTCTGAATGCTCTGTCAACTGCTGTATGACAGCTGGTGGGGAAATTGTGTCGTTGGAAGGGATATAGGGAGGGGTTGTGTGTGTGTGTGGGGGGGGGGGGGGCAGTAATCTCTGTTGTAGGTTGCGCGTACCGCAGCTCTGAAAGGTTTCGTGCCACCTGCTCTGTGCATGACATTGGGATTATAGGTGAGAAATCGCTGTTTTCGACCTAAATGTTTGAGAAAATGTTCTCGCTTGTAACGCCATGGCACTGAGAGAGGGACAGTGAAATGCGTCCTGTAATGTCTCGGATAAAAGCAGATGCTTACTGCCGTATAAGGCAGGGTTAAAATAATGCTTCTATTCAAGTTATGCTTCTATTCAAACATGCTTCTACGTCAAAATCCTCAGTCTACCCGCTTGTTTACACGTTTGTGTGTATGTGTTTGCGTGTATGTGTTTGCGTGTGGTTATGTGCGCATGTCTTGCACTCTCAGCCAGCCGCTACAATTGTAATACATATAACGGATACGGGTCTCTGTTCTCCTCACAACTACACTATGTCCCCACGACGTCTGGCAAGAACTTCAAGGAAGCTAAACATTATTGTGCGAACTACGGCATGAGCCTTCCAAACGTCAATGAGAGATTCTGTGTGAACAATTTCCTATCTGAACAGTTGGGGACTGGAGGGTCTGGTTGGATTGATAGGCCTGACCTAAACTCACATGCCCTTGTAAGCCGACCGTTGCCAGGTGGCCGTCCACAGTGGATCCCCTCCTCCGCAAAGTTGATGATTGTCGTCTGTTCTGTGCGCAGAGTAAGTGATACTGATCGTCACCATTCACCCGTGTAGACACACACACACACACACACACACACACACACACACACACATGCACGTGCACACATGCATGCGCACACACGCACACAAGTACACACCCACACACAAAAACACACATGCACGCACACATACACATACACACACACACAGATACACACACGTAGATACACACACACGTAAATACACACACACACACACAAACACAAACACACACACACACGCGTGCTCGCTCATGGCCAGTAGAGTTAGTACTCACATGAATGTTATGGAAATTGCACTTTTCCTTGCGCGGTATTCAGGGTATCTAGTAAGACCTGGTGATTATTGATACACTCGTGATGTTGATTATCCAGGGTGCACTGTTGTCCATCCTGGTGGCACCAATCCATGCCCATATTATCCCCATCGTATGCTGACCCTGAAATATCAGACGGTTTTGGGTGAGACCTCATGTGTTTTGGACTCTTGGTGAGGATGCACGTGGAGCTAAGAGTATTTTTGAGTGTGCTTTACCATGCTTGCCGGTCTTTGAGTGTGGAGTGGGGTTAAATTAACTAATGCTTACCTTCTTTCCCCCGTTTGTTTTGTCCGTGTGTGTCTGTGTGTGCGTGTGTGTGTGTGTGTGTCCGTGCGTGTGTCTGTGCATGACTCTGTGGATCTGCTGCAGTGAGATGAATGCGCTGCCTTTACATTGTTGTGGCCCTGTGTATGTTACATGGACGCTCGTCAAGTTTCTTCCCGAACTGTTTTGAAGCAGAACGTGGAGTCGTGCAGGGGTCTCAACCTGCAGCAAAGACTCTGTGATTTGCGCTGCAGCCTCTCTGGCGAAACCGCGGCCGGGCTGCTCCACGCCTAATCTTTATGCATTCTTCGTTTTCTGCATGTTATTCTGCTCAATAATTATTATAATCTTTTTCTAGACCCACATCATTTGTATGGTATGCTGCTGCTGTTGCTGCTGCTGTTGCTGCTGCTCCTGCTTGGAGGATTGCAGCAGCTATCACACTGTGGCTTCAGACTTTCCAGAGAAGCATTCGCCTGCCACCAGTTCGACCGGCTGGACATGCAGGTGGCCTACTCAGATGTATACAATTTGAGCCGTCAGATGCAAAAAGGTACCTTATGACGTTTTGCACGCAGTTGAGCCGGAAAATCACGTTCGAAAAAGTATTTTCTGTGAATAGGTCATCGATAGTCCGGATAGTTTCCAGGGTAACTCTATGATGAATTGAGATTTTTGGACCTGGTTTTTTGCATGACACTCTCCTGACCAGGTAGTATCTGAAACAATCGTCAACTCAATTTGGCCAAAAATGTCATAAGGTACCTTTTTGCATCTGACAGCTCATTTAAAATAAATGAATAATGTAATGAATGTCATAGTGTAACTGTAAGTAAACCGTTCTTCTACAACTGGTGCCGTCTTCTGACGAGATACAGTCACCTTTAGGTGTAGGAGTTCCAATGCTCACATACATACAAGATCCTGAGTGGAATAAACAAATAATTATTCGTCTCTACCCGAGTTGCTTGCTTTGTGTAGCGCCGAGAAGGTTCCTGCTCAGCTGAACACTGATACACATACCGTAGACTCCCCTTATAACAAACTCCCGTATAGCGAACTTCATGATTTTTGTTCACTCGCACATGTTGTCCAGGCGCCAGGGGCCCAGCCTCCCTGCCCATCCGACCCGCCACATGTACACACAACAACGAAACTGAACTAAGAGTTCTACATAATTTCCTGACAAGACGGAGACGGACAGACAAGAAGACCGGACACGACGAGGTAAACTGATAACTGAAGTAAAAGGCTACCATATCATCTCTAATATAAGCACGGTCCTTTATTTTTTCAATTTACCTCCGCCCGGTGCTATTAATGGAGACGTTCCTTTATTGGAGACTTTTCCATTATTATTTCAACCATATTTCAGAGGCATGTTGCCATGCCAAATTCATGTCAGACACCCACATTTCAGGGTTTTTTTCGCCGGTACAGATAATAAATTTACACAGTGTGCTTATAATGGAGACTGAGCACTTTAATTTTTGAATGCCGCCCCAAGGTGTTCTATTATTGGAGAAGTGCTGTTATTGGAGACTGTGCTTATATTAGAGATAATAGGGTAATGCTAGCTAGAGAGGTTCTGCTATACGTGAAACGCAGAGAAATCACGTAGGCCCAGGAACTCTCTCCGCGTTCCCGTAACGTAAAGAAAAGCTGTTCTGCTTTACGTTCTCGTAGAGAAGTCACGTGAAATGTGTACTCAGACGATCCCTTCCATATTTGGCAGTTGTCTGCCTTCACGGCTTCAGTTGATCGATACCCAGCGGATCCATACGCATTTTCTCTGCGTGTACCACAACGTGGAGAACCTAATCTCCGCGTTGAAATCTGGAGCCAAAACCCGCGAAGCCGTAGACTCTAACCCAGACACCTGCTCTCTACGTGATTTCTCTACGTTTCACCAAGAGTACATAACCCCCCAGAGTGTGCAACTCCCACATACCCTGTTGTCCCGACAGAATTTCAAGTTGACGTCATTATTTATGACGCAATGCTCCTTGCAGCAGTGATTTACAACATGTGTACGGGTGTCAACGCATCACACGTTTTTCTTTGCAATAATTTGTACAGGATCGATCGGCTTCGGTCAACCACAGGTTCCGGATTCGTCTGATAATCCGTGTACAGTGCGCATTGCATCATCAAAATGACGTCAACTTGAAATTCTGTCGCGACAGCACCCATAGTGGAGTTGCACACTCTGGGGGGTTATGTACTCTTGGTTTCACGTATAGCAGAACCTCCCTATTATGGCAGCATATGATTATGAGCATGTGCGCAATGACGTAACCGTCACTTGGTTCATGTACAGAAGACTGCACATGCAACCAAAACAATGCAACAAAGTCAAGATATACCACTACAAAACAAAACTAAAGAACAACATAAATAAGCCGTGAAAAGTCGTTCACTAATAGAACCAAGCACTACCACCAAGACTACCACTACCACCAAGACCGACTGCCGATGCGCAGATACCACCGGAAACAGCATATGCCGACGACGCTGACTTCATATCAACGTCCCACACATACCTCCGTCAGCTTCTGGCACTTGCAGAGGACATCTTCGACAGGTGGGACCTGAAAGTCAATGTTTCTAAAACGGAATGGGTCAGGATGTACCTTGAACCAGTTTCAGAAGCAGAAGTGCACCGTGGTCAAGAGCAATGGAGAAGCATCAGGACTCTGGGCTCTCTGTTTGGCACTGCACAAGATGTGACACGCAGGATTGGTCTTTCTGCTGTGGCATTTGGTTGAATCAAGAGTACATAACCCCCCAGAGTGTGCAACTCCCACATACCCTGTTGTCCCGACAGAATTTCAAGTTGACGTCATTATTTATGACGCAATGCTCCTTGCAGCAGTGATTTACAACATGTGTACGGGTGTCAACGCATCACACGTTTTTCTTTGCAATAATTTGTACAGGATCGATCGGCTTCGGTCAACCACAGGTTCCGGATTCGTCTGATAATCCGTGTACAGTGCGCATTGCATCATCAAAATGACGTCAACTTGAAATTCTGTCGCGACAGCACCCATAGTGGAGTTGCACACTCTGGGGGGTTATGTACTCTTGGTTTCACGTATAGCAGAACCTCCCTATTATGGCAGCATATGATTATGAGCATGTGCACAATGACGTAACCGTCACTTGGTTCATGTACAGAAGACTGCACATGCAACCAAAACAATGCAACAAAGTCAAGATATACCACTACAAAACAAAACTAAAGAACAACATAAATAAGCCGTGAAAAGTCGTTCACTAATAGAACCAAGCACTACCACCAAGACTACCACTACCACCAAGACCGACTGCCGATGCGCAGATACCACCGGAAACAGCATATGCCGACGACGCTGACTTCATATCAACGTCCCACACATACCTCCGTCAGCTTCTGGCACTTGCAGAGGACATCTTCGACAGGTGGGACCTGAAAGTCAATGTTTCTAAAACGGAATGGGTCAGGATGTACCTTGAACCAGTTTCAGAAGCAGAAGTGCACCGTGGTCAAGAGCAATGGAGAAGCATCAGGACTCTGGGCTCTCTGTTTGGCACTGCACAAGATGTGACACGCAGGATTGGTCTTTCTGCTGTGGCATTTGGTTGAATCAAGAGTACATAACCCCCCAGAGTGTGCAACTCCCACATACCCTGTTGTCCCGACAGAATTTCAAGTTGACGTCATTATTTATGACGCAATGCTCCTTGCAGCAGTGATTTACAACATGTGTACGGGTGTCAACGCATCACACGTTTTTCTTTGCAATAATTTGTACAGGATCGATCGGCTTCGGTCAACCACAGGTTCCGGATTCGTCTGATAATCCGTGTACAGTGCGCATTGCATCATCAAAATGACGTCAACTTGAAATTCTGTCGGAACAGCACCCATAGTGGAGTTGCACACTCTGGGGGGTTATGTACTCTTGGTTGAATGAAGGCGATCTGGTTTCGGTGGCAACATCTACAAACTAACACCATTGTACGACTCTACAACGCATACGTTCTTCCTATCCTCGCGTACAATATTGGCTGCGCACTGCGCAGGCCTCTCTAAAGGCCGATTCACAATACAACTTTCTGCCACGCGACATGCGACTTGCGACACATGCGACGAGCTGCGACAGCGACACACGGTTCACAATATTCTTCATGTTTGCGACATCCTCATGCACAAGTAGCACTATGCACGTGCACTGCACGTGCACCCAGGGTCGAAACTGTACTCCGTGGTACTCCATTTGTGTATGTCGCGTGTCACATGTCGCAAAAGTTGAACTTTCTTCCACGACAGGTGCATTGCGACAGCTTGCGACAGCTCACAACTGGCAGTTTCTTGTCGCAACTGTCGCAAATCGCGTGTCGAGTCGCAGAAAGTTGTATTGTGAATCGGCCTTAAGGCACTGGAGACTCCCTGGATAAGATCCATCGCAAGCAACTTCGGCATATGTTTGGTATCTCTTCTACCCTCGTGTCGTGTTGAATGATGACCTGTATGAGCTTGCTCACACTGAGCCAATATCCGCTATGGCAAAGCGAGTAAGATGGCGTCTGCTTGGACACATCCTACGCCAGCCATCATCGACACCAGGCAATCAAGCAATGATTGCATACGCATCAATGGAGGACGCTGTGAGGCACAGGAGGGGAGCTCCAAGGTCCTGTTTGGTCACCACCCTCCAGCAAGACGTCAAGTTCACCGCCGTCGCATTGAAGACGAGCCGGTGTCATATAGTAGAATGACCCCCGTAGTGGAAGGCCCCCGGTCATTGTACTATAATAGTAGATTGCCCCCGGGGTCACTCTACTATATAGTACAACGACCCCCCTCGCACGGCTGTTACGGGGAGGTCACTTGGCTAGATGGCGGCGACCTGTAGAAACGCCCCTGGCAACGGAGGTCACACGGAAAGCGTGGGTACGCTCATCGCATTTTTCAAATCTTCATGATCATTTCTGCAGAAAGAAAAGGTTCTGTCACTTCGAATACTTAAAATAGTACTTTTATGGATTTCGCCTCTTCAGTCTCTCGCTCGTCAAAAAATGTTGTTGGAGGCTGCTGTGCTCCGCGAAGTGCAACGGATACCGCTCAGTAGCAGATAAAGGAGATGTGCTTCGCAGGACTCTTTCGCAAAATGACGACCTGCGCCTCGGATCGGAGGAGAACTTTTTGTCAAGTTGACTCAATCTCCGGACAGCTATAGCTGTTTCGACCTTGTTAGGTCTCATCAGCGGAGTTCACAGTGTGTGGCCGAACAGATCAGCAAGAATTAATTTCAACCCTGTTACAGTGTTAGGTCTCATCAGGGGAGCTCAGAGTGTGTGGCCGAACAGATCAGCAAGAATTAATTTCGACCTTGTTAGGTCTCAGCAGCGGAGCTCAGAGTGTGTGGCCGAACAGATCAGCAAGAATTAATTTCAACCTTGTTAGGTCTCATCAGAGGAGCTCAGAGTGTGTGGCCGAACAGATCAGCAAGAATTAATTTCAACCTTGTTAGGTCTCATCAGAGGAGCTCAGAGTGTGTGGCCGAACAGATCAACAAGATTTAATTTCAACCCTGTACAAGTGTAATGGGTAGCCGAGTGGTAGGCGCGGTGAAATCAACAAGAATTACTTTTATTCTACTTCTTTCAGGTACACACCTGAGATTTAATTATTAGTGAAAGAAGAAACGGCAAAATAAATGACTTTCTCTCCGGTGCACACCTGGAGGTTGAATAGCTCGGTATTATCAAAATCTCATCTTCGAGTTAGCTTTCGTTGCTATCTAATCTAATCTTCATCAAAACAGAAATGCGCAGCCGCTTTTATGCATCAGACGACGTACGCTTACATACGGAGATACACTAGATATTATAGCAATAAAAACTGCTTTATGGCAGT